ATATAACAACTGGCTTTCTGTTGCCTGGTTGTTACTGCTGGAGAGGAAGAAGGAAATGCAGAGTGCCCATTGGATACAGCAGTCAAGAACTCCAGGTACAATAACAGCTCAATATGACACCACCTGGGAATCCCTGGGAGACCCGGAGAGTCAGGGATAACAGCTTCTGAACATAAAATCAGAGAAACTAAATGGATGGAAATACTTCACTTGGCACATAAGCTGCCAGGCAGGAATCAAGGACACTGCATTACAGCACCACTCCAAGATTTAATCAGGAGCAGGTTCCATTATATTAGGCATATTACAAACACAGGTCTGCTTACTTCAGCATTTCACAACATGAGGACTGAATGTCAAACTAGTTCAAAGCAGCCTGAGGCAGAAGAACATGCATGAGCAACAGAAACATTTCTGGATGACCCTGGGTCTACTACAGACTTCATTTTCTTTGCTTGTTGTTAGTAATGCCTCCAGCTCAGTTCCTTAAAGGCTTCATCCAAGTGCAGACACTTGTTCCTACAGGGCTGATGACTCAGAATTACAAAGGATCAAGTTGTACATGCTTTTTCTGGAAATGTAGTTTGGCTCAGAGTACAGCTTCTGAGCATGAAATTCTAACTGAAAGATTGGCTCCCTCTACCCTCACCTACAAGTAAAATAATGCAATGGTGATATACATGGTCACTCTCACCTCTTTGGTGAGTCAGTTGTCAGGGAGGTCCAGTCTGTGAATACAAGACCCTTCCTACATTGACTGGGGTTGCAGAGATGCAAATATCATGTGGGATGTGATAACGACAGGGGTAAATCAGTATCTGCATAAACTCAAATCAGTCCTGTAGCTTCAAATAACAGCATCTGAGAATCAAGTGCGACAAGTGAACTGCTATGATGATGGGCTGTCATGTGTAGCAACCAAAGCTTTTACAAGCCAAGTAACAGGGAGCAGTTAAGCCTAGAGTTAACATTACTAGTTGGTATACTAACTCATTCTACACAGGATAAACAGGGTTATTTTTTTCCCCAAAAAATAGCTATGAGGGATTCTCTCTGAATCTTGCTGCTTGTGTCCTACTGATGAAACCAGACTATCTGTGCCCTCTCCTGGTGAGAGCAGGTTCCTACCAAGAAGGCATGAACAGAACTCGGGAGTTACTGACCAACTTCCCGGTATAACAAAACATTGGAGAACATCACTGAACTTTTGTCACGTAACTCTATGGATAGTGATCACTGAAGAGCATTGTGACAATATTATTTGGACTTTTCTAGATAAATGTGCTATCAATAATTTTAAATTAATCATGAAGCCACTACTGAGTACCTTGCAACATAAATATTTCAGACATTTCAAAATTAAGGCATTTTACAATGCCAAAATTTAATATCAGGCTCCATGAAAGACTTCAATTATGCCTCAGGACAAAGATATCTGAATTGAAACTCCGATAAAATCCTACTTTTATTGTGGACTAATGTGAACATCTGCTGAAAGTTTTTATACTTGCATAGCAGTAGAGTGCCTGAACTACTTTGCATAACTCATATTGACTATCAAGATCAGCTTTTGCTTATGATTAAACAGATTATGTGATGACATTTTAGGGATGAACAGATTATAGCCCTAAATCCAAACATGTAAGTAACAATGAAATCTTATTATGCATTAGAAAACAACCAATGCAAGAGCTGATCTGAAAATTACTCAAGACATCTCCTAGTAGGGTCAAGGATAAGCACCTAAATTCTCCCCAGAAATACATATACATTCTGGTCGCTAGACTTCCCTCTTTTCAAGTACACAGATGAATGATTGAGGGAACCTGTTTATAACAGCTGGACCACTCAATTATTTTTTTTTGCAACACTTTGGGGCAAAATCGTTTAATGTCTATTTATACCACATTCAGACTCTTTCAGTCATTAAAGCTGTGCTATAGCATAAACCCAGAAATTTTCCTTAACCTCTTTGCTTCAGCTTCCACTACAAGAACAAGTAAACTTGTGGTCCTTGCTAACCTGCAGACGGCAGTGAAACTGACTAAGGTCTAACTGATCATATTTGAGAGTATTTTATCTGGTTTCAATAATTTATTATTTGCTAACACTTGCAGATACTGTATGGCAGAAGATTCATATATTCACTTATAGAGGAAAGGCTGCATTTTAACACTTCCAGTGACATAGAAACATCTGAGGAAAAGATGATGTGTTTGGAAAATAAATGTCTCATTTCACTGACAACATGTCCTTCTGACCTCCTTGTGGTCTCCTTCACAATCCATCATATAAGCTAAAGCAGGGTAGTACAGAGAGCATAACTGAAGTACAAATATAAGAAATAGCCTACAGGGCATGCGTATTTGTCCTTCCAGCCCAGTGTTGTGTCTTCCACAGTAGCAATGAGTGATGGTGTAAAAAGACACTTGCAGATGTGACAGGTAAGCAATTAGACAATACATTACTGACTAGGAAATTTGTAATCAATCAGAAGACAAATGAATGACTCTACAGATGGAGTAGATGTGCAGATGTGGAGCAGGATGTACAGACCACAAAATGACTGAAAATGGGATATAAAGAAATACTGTGTGAGCTCTTGAGATGGTGCTACTAGTGAATCAGCAAGGAGGAAGGTGTTGCACACAGCTGAGGGCACAGACAGCCAGAAAATTCATGATGGAAAATGACAGCAAACAGAAGCATGTATGGTACTACATATAAGACACTGATGAAACCTGGGAGAAGCAATCCCACTGTATGCTGTTTGGTATCCACTGCACAAAATGCTTGCTTTCTATAATAAAGTCCAGAATCAGAAAGGTATGAAGATGATTTCAAACATCTGTTTAGCCCCCCTCAAAAGCAGAGATCATGCTGAGCTGCTAACACTTCATTCTTTATTTCATCCAAGTAGTCATTGAAAACATAGATGTCAATGTGGTAATTATAAACACAATAAATTCCTGTGCAGAATACAAACAGATATTATGCATAGCTCTACTAGCATGTTTTCATTCAGGGGCACAAAAATGTACCTTCCAAATCCTCAAACTCTCTGAAGCAGAAGTCGAAACTGCAGGAAGTTCTTCTGTAATGTAGAAAAATACATCCATTAGAGACTGGCCTGGTGCCATCAATCTAAATAGCAGAGAGGTTTTCAGATAGAAAGGCTAGCACATTATCTCACTGTCTTGTTCCATTTAAAGTGATTTAATCTAGAATATTTCATTAATTTGTAAGAAGGAAAAACGTTAGTTCCCAAAAGCTCTATCAATTAAAACAGCCTCGCTTTCAAGCAAGTGTCTTAACTCACATTCAAGCAAAACACTCACTGTGTGTGCCACCCCAAAAAAAAAACTACCTTGCAAAAAAAAAAATACCCCCAAACCAGCAGAACTCTTCTCTCAAGAGTATTAAAGTAAGTAGAAATACTTGTGTTTATTTCAGTGGAAACAACATCAAGCATGAGCAGGTGAAGATGTATTGTTGCATATGACATTGGTAGCCTGTCCATAACTGAGTCATCTCCAACTGAATCCCCTCCAGTGAGAACAAGAAGTATCCAAACATAATGTAACCTCACCTGAGGTCAGTTCTTTTGCACTGACACTGGTGAAATAATTTTTCCATTAAGTTTCAGTGATTTGCATTACTACTGGTCTGCCAATATTTACCTAATATTCCCAGCAGTAAGAAATGCCTCCGTATACTTGACAAATCTGAGAATACTTTTGAAGACCATAAACCCCCCACATCTACAGTTTGCAACACGTATATGCACCACAGACTGGATTCTGCAGTGTGACTACAAATTCAAGCTCAATATATTGGCAAATAAATGCAGGGTTATTTGCAGAGACACGGTTTGTTTAATAGGTTTAAGGATAATCATATAATTGTGTTATTTTCTTTGTTTTCTTTACTGCAAGCCATTTCATATTGAGGAGTCCTAATAAGAAGTCACTTTTACAACAAAAACCTGAATTTCAACCACAATTAAATCTTCTGTTTTTAAAAAAATTATTTTATATACATCAGGCACTCTTAGAATAGTTAGGCCTTCAGGCGTTAGAAAAGCTTTACCTCACCATCTGTGAAGAAGTGACTTATGATTTCATAAATTGTGAGGTATGCTTAGGAATACTCTCACTATTATAAAACTGTCTCCTTTTATACCTTCATGATACCTTACTGTTTCTTTATTCATTTTGCTCCTCAGAGATGGGAAGGCCCAGGCATACCCAAAAGACATTTTTGCAAAAACAAATGGATTGCAAAGAACATTTTAAATTACCATGTTCTCTTAGACATCTTAATGAAGCATGTGTGCCTTAAATCCACATTTTCTTCAGAAACGATGCAGGCTCCAAAATGGTATCTATGGTGAGAGAATGGAAAGGTCCCCATTAACACGGTCAACACCCTCACATTGATGGGAGAAAAGCTGTACCACTACTCAGCCCACTTGCTGACAACATGTTTGCATTCAAACCTACAACTTGTCATTTGTTTTTCTTTTTTAAATAAAACCAGTACAAACCTGCAATACAAACCATATAAGCAGGTTGGATGTAACCCCTGAATTTTACTTATAATCTACAAATAAATACGAGTATTTACATATAAAAAATACATATAAATTATTAATAATCGGCTTTGCCTCCTAGACCATACTTTAAAAGTCTACCAGAACTTTTAATGTTAAATCATAGAAGATAGGCACCTTCCAAATGCAGCATCCATCCAGTTAATAATTACCTAAACACAGAGGTAGTACATATGTTTCATCACATGACTACACATACAGAAAATGTACAATTACCCACAATAAGCAGATTAAAAAAAACCCCCACAAACAACCATAATTACCTTTTAAGTTTATGTTATTTGATATGTCTGGATTTTGAGAAGGAAATAGCTAGCTCTGGTCCTTAGCCCCTTCAGCAAAGGTGTCCATATACCATATAACCATATATAACCATATAACCATATTCCATATAACCAGTATTTACTTCCATACAGTACTTGGACCGTAGCTCTCCACGCCTGCAAAGCAAGGAGGTAGTAACAACAATCAGTACGTCAGAACCACTAGTAATGCTTCATCACAAGGTCAACAGTCATAGTCAGACTTCCCAAAAAACACAATTTAAAGCACAGCAGTTAAATAGTTTTGTCCTGTCTTTTGATTCATCTCTCTCTGCTATGCTAGCTTATGAGGAAGTTGTTCATTCACCTCCAAAAATCAATGAGGTTTGTCTCCATTTGGTACTACAGGTTGTCTTCCCTTTCCCATACTGGCCCGTCACCTTCCCTACAGTTCACTCTCCTCCCTGAGTGCCAAATCAATGCTGTTCCCCTTTACTTCCAGTTGCCCAGCACCCAACTGTAGTTCTTCCCAAAACATCACACCACCCACCAGCTACATCTACAACCTCTGCTCACCCCATCTTACCTCTGCTTTTCCCATGGCACAGGAAAATGGCAGGGATGATCTTTTCCTCTTAAGTATTTGGTTTGGAGGTGACATAAGGCCTCATTTGTCTCCTTCAAAGCTCTGGAGACAAAAAAAAGAGCAGTGAAACAGGTAACACGCACACTGCGAGAAGCCCTCTCCTGCCGCGGCACACTGCGAGCCCCAGGAGGGCCGCAGTCACCCGGGACCATGCACCAACTTCTCACCCTGCAGCCACAAGGACGTCACTGACTTCCTGAGCTCATCACCCTTACACTGCTTCGTGGCATGTCATTGCTTCCCCGAGGGCCTCACAGACGGTGGCAGGTCCCAAGTGACCCGGCAGCCGGGCCTCAGGCCGCCCACCCCAGGGCTGCTCCTACCCGCACCCGCCAGCACGGCG